CTAACACATTTATAAGATTATTTCTTTGTTGCTTTGTATGTCCCTCCCCCACAGTATAACCCCTGCTTTCACTGTATTTGATGTTGGTATAATTTGTGAAGGGGAAGGGAAAAAACAAATCATTTAAATAGGCATACAGGTGGACCCATCGCAACAATGAGATGTACAAGTCGTTATGTCGAAAATGAACTTTACAACTGTGGTGTGGGGGATGGGGGACCATGAGGAGGATTGGGTGGGGGGGGCGGGGGGGAGAAGGGATGGGAAGGGGAAACAAAGGAGGAGGCTATAATGCTTGATAAGAAATGTACTCATTATCTTGCCCATGTAATTGTAACCCCTCTGTACAGTATTTTCACAATAAAAATAAATAAATAAATAAAATAAAAGATATTAAAGAACACACACGTACACACACACACACACACACAAGAATCAGATGGCCTAGGAGTTTCTTTTGAAGACTGTCATTTTCTACTTATATAAACCTTGGGCAAAATTTTGATGTACTGTAAATCTCCATGTGACCATTGTAAAATAAGAATAAAAATAGCTAACTTACCTAATTCACAGGCTATTCCTAATTCACTCAATTCGAGGGGAGGGAAAATACATGAAATAATTTTGCAAATGGAAAAGTGTTATAAAAAAAAGGCCATGTAATTTCCCTTTCCCCTAGTTATCATGAAAATTTAAAAGTTTATTACAGCATTGAATAAATGATGTGTGAGCATGTATTTCTGAATGTATTCCAGCTAAGTGTTGGCTCTTCTGTTTCTCTTAACCAAATACTTGCTGACTGAGTATCAAATTTAATCACTCCTTCAATTTTCATCACTGCTGTTATAAATTTACACTTCTGTTTCCAGACATGGACCTAGGCTTTAAGGTGACCACTGCAACATGAAGATACATCTCAGGTAGTTCATGCTAAAATGCTTACTAATTACATGAAATATACCCTGGTCAGTCTCTTGAAACAGCACTGAAATAAAAGCCTGTTAGGCTTTTTGTAATCTTTGAAAGGCATTATACAGAGCACAGTGATGTGATTGGTAGATCTGCAAAACATTACTCAAAAATCTAAAACCATCTGTACAAAGTTGATCAGTATTAAGTACTTTGAAGATACTGTCAACCTTGAGAGTTGCAGAGATGAAAAGTTCCATGGTTTTTAATTTAATCTAAAGAATACAATATTTAAAATGGATCAATCTAGAACAAAATGTCATAAGTATGATGCAAAACATAGGCAACTTGCACAGTGGGTATCCACAGTATCATAACATTAATACTACATTTTAAATATGAAAATTGGATATCTTACATACAAGGGCAAGCTCTGCAGTACAACTATAAGATCATTTAGAGCTACAGTGCACCTGTCTGCCATACACACTCCAAGGGGTTCTGTCCACAGCCCAGCATCTGAAAACATGAAATATAAAACTTCTGGCTCTCAATAACTATAACAACTAAGAAACAAAGTGGGGAGTCAGGGAAGGAAAATACATAAAAGCTTTGGTTTGGGGCAACTATTGTACAATGACAAGGTTTGATAAGCCCCATGGTAAGTACACACATACATTACTCTCTCTCTCTCTCTCTCTCTCTCTCTCTTTTGGTCAGTTGTGGGGCCTGAACTCTGGGCCTGGGGGCTGTACCTCAACTCTTCAGCTCAAGGCTAGCACTCTACCACTGGAGCCACAGCACCACTTCTGGCTTTTTCTGCTTATGTGGTGCTGAGGAGTCAAACCCTGGGCCCAATGTATGCAAGGCAAGCACTCTACCACTGAGCCACCTTCCCAGCCCCCATACATTACTCTTTTCGTGTAAAATATGTCTTAGTCTATGGATTCTGATACTATGTAATGAAAAAATTTAAATTTCTTGGTTTCAGTATGAGCAATATTTGAAACCATAACCACACACTTAAAAGAACAATAATTATTTTTAAAAAATCTTCCTGGATAAGGAAAAAAAATTACAAGTGTTTTTGAGAGATGCCCGAAGACAAAAAAAAAAAGAGAAATGTTTGGATAAGTCTAAAGATAATGATCTTATTACTTTTGGGAATCTTATTTCATTTTGGCAAATGCTCATTGATAAAGTTAAGCAGTATCTCAAGCAGGAAACAAAACAAAGCAAAACAGAACAAACAAAACCTGAAACAAAATGACTTTGAATCAAATCACAAAGGTATATCTCCTTCAAATATTTACAACTAAGAAAGTTGTAGGGTAAATAATGACTAGTTCCATCTCTTCTGTGAACTACTAAAATGCAAGTTAGAAATGTAGTTAACATACCAAAACCTCCATCCCGGTGACATAGTTGAGGGTTATCATATAGTCTTTTGGAAGATTTGCAACCTACAGGGACCAAAAATAAATAAATTCTTTGAGAACATTCATATACATTAATTAATCATTTTACTTATTCTCTTTTTCTGTCATCAAAGGCACCCTCCAACAAATAAAGTGATGATACAAAATTTTAGAATTCTAAATTCAGTTGTGGCTGGATAAGTACAATCTATCAAGTTTTGAAACATGGTATGAATTTCAACATCCATCTGTAGTCATGGAATTCCCTTCCAAGACTATTTATTCTCCAACTTGTTTCTGCATAGAGTTAGTAATAATGTACGCCTTTCTTGTCAATGATCTTAAAATACAGACTTTAAAATAACATGTTGGCATTAACAGGGAATCTCAAAGAAATGTAAGCTCTCAGACTAGATTGAATCTTGGTTAGCAAGGCAGTGATTTTCATTGATAACTGGAGAACTGTTTATCCTAAGTTACTGGACCCTCAAAAGAATATAGCTACTTGTAAGATGGTACTATTTGTAAGATGGGTACTGTTAAGTTTTGCAATGTACCTTAACCCACTTACCTTATGCTGGACACTTGAGAAAGCTCAAATGTTTGCCAGTTTCTTTTAAAACATTAAGAAATGTCTGACTTCAGTTATTCTGGAATAAGTGAGTAAGCAGTGGATATAGAACCAAGGAGTTTGGAACCAATCTAAACTCTTTGCATCTGGGTTTCCCTACTTTGTAAGATGAAGATACAGTTCCCTATGTCAAACAATTAGTTAATAGTGAATTGAATACACCAACATGTTGCAAATATTCAATTTATGTTCTTTATTGTGAACTATACAGACCTGTGATTTCAATGCCTAAAATCTCTTCATCCAGTCTCTTAAAAACTTCAACTTCCCTAAAGAAAGCTGAGGTCATGGCATGCTTGCAGGCCTAAATCATCTCCATAAGCCTTCCATAATGGAAGCCACACGTTGCTTCTTGGTCTTGCCAATAGCTTTTAGAGCAGGACAGAGACTTGGTCAGAAAAGACATCAGGAAAAGGCATTAGTAGTCAGAGGTGAGCTGAGATAGTAATGGTGTCCCTCTATACTCCTGCCATCCTCCTAAGTGGTATCACTTCACATTCATCTCAGACTTGAGCTGACAAAACTTACCTAGGTTTTCCTTCCTCGTTCTAGATCATGACAAAATAGTTAGTATGTCCAAAATTATCAAATATTTAAGTTAGTAATAAGCCTAAGCAATCCTCAATATATATTGACATATATAAATATGCCAACATATATTTATATATTCATATATAGGTCCTAAATTGAGATACACACACACACACACACACACACACACACACACACACACACACACACACGACATTGGTTCAAAGAAGCCAAATTTTACAAGAATATCTGAACAGAATACTGAAATTGCCACACTTTATTAGAGGGATATATTTCTACATTAAGCTGACTTACTAAATTTCTAGTGGGACTGAAAAATAATACTATTTTTGAAAACTACTTTAGAACCCTCATGGGATATAGCTTATTAATCTCTCATAAATGAGGACAGGAGGGAGGCTCAGAAAGGTTCACTGGCATCTGCAGTATCATAAGCATTCAGATAACTACTATAGGTAGGAAGCAAACTCTGGCTCTGGGCTGGTGTTTTGCCCTGTTAACTCCAAAACAGTCTCTCTCTTAATAGCTTCCTTTCCAATTACATTTTGGAGAGAACTTAGAGAGTGAAATTATATGTAGTTATAGCCACTTCAAAATTATTTTATGACCTTCTAAGCACTTATAGGACTACTGAATGCATTCAGAAAGCACAAATAATCTTGCAATACCTCCAGTGTCATTGGTGTATATGAGTTGTTACGGAAGTTTTATGAGTAGAGAGACTGTGGGCCTGGAATATAAACATCCCTTAGAGGTACGGATTGATGCTGAGGCCAACAACACAGATTTTGGAGATAAATTGCATAAATTGGGTCCTAACCCCGCCCCTGCTAACTCAGTTCTTATGCAAGTTAACTTTAACTTCTACTTGTGGGAAATGGAAATTAGAGCTGGTTTGATAAGGACTCAATAATTCATGGGAAATACTAAGTGTTAGGGCCTGATATGAATGGATCTGAATTTCTATGATTATTAAATGCATCAAAGTGAAGCTTTCTAAAGAGAGAAAAATCATAGGAAAAAGTAATTTACAGCTCATGTTGTATCAGAGAGACCAAACAGGTAAGTTGTAAGAATGTCAGGAAAGCCATGTCATGAAGGCTGAGCGCTATGGCGGTGCAGACAGTGGAAGGAAAAAATGGAAGGAACAGTTTCACCACTAAACCCTACTGTGGACTTAGGTCTATCATGTTATCTCTCTGGACCATGCCTGTAAATTAAGGGGAATAAACTGGATAATTATAAAAGATTCACTCTGGCTTAGCTGTTTCCTGAGAACAGGTATGTAACAGCATAGTTATCCATGACAGCAAATTTACACTGACTGATCTGAAAGACTACATTGAGCGGAAGAAAGAACAGAGAGAGAAAGAGGGTTGGAAAATGGAATCTGTTGAAAATCAGGAACTAGTGTAGATTCTAAAGTGTTATCTTACTGGTACATTTAAATACCCATGTAACTAATGGTACACATTTTGTTAACAAATCTGTTTTACTAAGGTAAGTTTCGGGGGTGGGGGACTTCAATTTAATTGATGGGAAATTTTACTGAAGTTCAAGGACATTAGAATTATAGAAGATTATAGAATGACACTGTAAAACAAGGCAATAATGCCAGGCTGTTTGTGGGTTTGCTCTCTTCTTTGGATGTTTTGAGGACTGGCCATACTCAGTAACACTGGGGGAAAACACTGCATAGAGAACAGTGTTCAGAAATGCTGGAAACTCAAGCCAAGAAAAAAAATCTTGGTGAACCAAACTTGCACTGACTGCAAACCATACCCTGCAGGTATTGGGGCTGGGGTGGGAGGGCAGGGGGGAAGGAGGAGGAAAAGGAACTCAAAGTCAGAACACTTAACTCCTCTCTAGGAACTTTTGGATCCCACGAACAAAATGTCACTGAGCTCCCTAAATCTCAAAAAACATTAAAATTTTTATTTTATTGTAAAGATGCTGTACAAAGGGGTTACAGTTACAAAATACATCTTTTTATAACTTAGTTTGGGGTATTTATTTTTGGGGAGTCCGGTTGTGGGGCCTGAACTGTGGGCCTGGGCGCTGTCCCTCAGCTCTTCAGCTCAGGGCTAGCCCTCTACTACTTGAGCCACAGCGCCACTTCCAGCTTTTTTCTTTTTGCTTATGTGGTGCTGAGGAATTGAACCCAGGGCCTCATGCATGCAAGGCAAGTGCTCAACCACTGAGCCACCTTTCCAGCCCCAAGTTTGGGGTATTTTGACATTAGCAACAGGAAACAGACTCAGACATATAATTTACATCTTATGATGTAAATTATATGTAAGTAGCACCAACTGAGCTTCTATAATGTGAAAGCTTCCCAAGATAAAACAAAGTAAGGTAACTGCTACACAAGAAATGAAATTCAATTGACTACTCTGGTAAGTATAAACTATAACTGAAGTTTTCATCTCTGGTTGTTGAGAAGACACTCAGTATTATGAACCGATTTCTTCTGTTCCAAAGATAGAGTTATGGGTTCAAACAATCCCTCAATGTGTTCCACCTGGTGCCCACGTACTCATACCATAGCCATGGATTTAAAAGCCAGGGAGCATAAGATACGACACCTAATTGGTTTATTCTGTGAAACAAGAACACTGTTTGTTAAGTAAGACATTTTTGGTAATGTTCAAGATACCTGGACAGCTTTCATTTTATTTTTTAACTGAAATTTTACTTTTAATAAAGCTCTGTCCTTTATTTAAATGCTTCATTTCAAAATTTAAATTAAAGAATATCAACCAACTACAAAGGGGAAAAATTAAAAGTCTATTATAAACTATTGAAAAAGAATTATTTTAAAAATATTCATTTATCAAACAATTGCTCTTCAAGGTCCAACAACCTTTGTGGGACTTCTTTTAAAGAGAAGGTGGGCATGGGTAATTGATCCAGAAAAAGGAGGTTTAGAGGCTGCAGACCTTCACTTTAAATCAGTGGTAATTCAAATAGGAAAGAGGAATGAAATCAGGATTTATCAAAATTGTCCATTGAAAGTGTTCACATCTGTTATCTGATGATATAGTCATCACTTCTGATTATGACCATCCCAAGGGTCATGCATTGCTATAACCAATTTAGGATAAGGATCTACTACAGATTAGGAAAACCTTGAACCTCTTTGTGATGACCTTGGAAAGGAAGTCATTTCACTTTCACTAGATGAGGAAGGGACAGCAATCAATTACAATTAAAAAATGTTTTGAGAAGGATGTAACAGCTAAGGATAATTTTTTTCAAAAACAAGGAAGTGGGCTGGGAAGGTGGCTCAGTGGTAGAGTGCTTGCCTTTAACACATGAGGCCCTGGGTTCGATTCCTCAGTACCACATAACCAGAAAAAGCCAGAAGTGGCACTGTGGCTCAAGTGGTAGAGGCTAGTCTTGAGTTGAAGAGCTAAGGAACAACACACAGGCCCAGAGTTCAGGCCCATGACCAACAAAAACAAAACAAAACAAAAAACAAGGAAGTTACATTTAATTAAATTGCTGCAATGAAAGAAAACCCTATCATAAATGAAAGGAAGAACTACTGAGGAAAACTAAGTTGAACTTCTCCAATATTTGATTCCTTCTCACATAAATACTAGACAAGCATTAATAGCTGTATCCTCACTATCCATGGATAATTGTAAGTTTGATTCATCCTCTTCTCAGATACTTGACTCTTTCCCTAGGTAGAGCTGGGTTTGCCATTTAAAACAAGTCTTGCAACATTTTTTAGAGACAAAGCAAAATGTTCTGCAAATAGATGAACTATTATGCTAAGTAAACATGCCAGAAGGATTTCAAATAAAAACCATGGGGACCACAAGGGCAGTACAAAATGTCCAAGAAGAATATTTTAAAAAAATGTAAAGCCATAAATCATGTGATTCAGTGGCATGGGAATCTCATCGAGGCACAAAGTCAAGATTTGGGCACACAGTGCAAATTGCTACCTAACACAGGGGCAGAACTGGTACATATAAAAGCACAGGGATGATCTCAGCTGGAGAAATGACTGTGAGCACAAAGCAAAACGAATTATCAGCTCACTTTCTCCATTTCAGATAAAATATAGCAAGGTTATGTCTGTCAGGTAAAATCCTCTTTTCTATATAATCGATTTAAATGGGGGCATTACTGGTTGATTCCAAGAGGCGAGACCTGAAGAAATACTATGAAATAAAAATACTTTAAAGCTGGGAAGGACTTCAAAGCTCTCTAAATAATTCTTCTCTTATGTAAGGTCAGAGACTTCGCTGAGAAATGGTGAAAGCTATGCATTCTCTCCTCAGAAATGGACACAATGGACTTTAGGCACAATTCAGCATGTCATGGGCAAGTGTTTGAAGTTTACAAGTTCTTGGTAAAGAACTATTGATCATATCCATGTTCCTCCTTTCAAAAACCAGGAAACTGAATCCCCCAAAAGGCTCAGTAATCTGTCTGAGGTCAGTCAGTCAGGAAATAATACAGCTGGTGTTCAAACAACCAAGTGACCCTGGCTTCTGTCAAGAAGCTTTGACCTACCATTCTTTAGAGAGATGTTGAGGCTCTCTCCCATAAATCCAACAGATGTGTGTGGTGTTTGAATTAGTAAAGTTAATGAGTTAGAATAGTTAGAAGAGTTAATAGTTAGCTTCATTTCAAACATGAACAACAAAGATAAAACCCACTACAAGCATATGGCCTAAGAGGTTCTAGAACTTCAAAGCAAATTACTGTTTTGTGTGATTTTAGTCTTAAGCACTGAGGTTCCTACAGCTCATCTCTACAAACTGAGGTTTGGTATTTTTCACAGTGGAGCCCTCACAACTGTACCTTAAATAAGCTTAGATGATCTCCAACCAAGCCTGGTAAAGCAATAGCTTTCAAGCATTCCTTCTCAAGCTTAAATCCAAAGCCAAGACTCATTTGGAAACTCAGATATATAAACAAAAGCCAAAGGGCTTTTGCTGGATTCCAGAAGCCAGTTTGAAACCACTACTCCTCAAGACACAGAACTGTAATGGAGTAGGAGCTGGGTCTTACCACTCTTGGCTTTATGTATCTTCAAAAGACTTTATTTAGGTTGTCTCTAATTTCCATCTCCAGTATCCTGTGATCCTACAAATGTCATCAGGGCTACTAACAGGATAAATGTGGCCAAAATGTGGAAGACAGTAGAGTCCAGATTCCATTTCATATTTACAATGACTCTATAAAATTAAATACTATTAATCTACTGTAACCAATAAAGGAACAGGCCCAAAGAGATTATAAGATAGTAACTGGTTAAAAAAAAGTTAATAGGTACTTTTTCTTATTTATCTACATGACAAAATTGTGAAGTAAGAACTGAAATTTAGAAAGATACTTTCTTAGCCAAGGTCAAAGAGCTGGGTTTTTAACTGCAATATCTCAGATTCAAAAACTCCATTATTTTAATCCATATGTATAACAGCACGGATTGGATGCCAATGTTATATGATGAAATCTTTTAAATGCCATCTGTTTATGTGTTATCTGTTTGTTGTTGTGATATATATTTGTATTTAGGAGGCTTTTCTCTAAGACTAGATAATGAACATTCTAAGCTCAGAGATTGTTTCATAATTTTCTATTTCTTCCTCTACAAAATACAAGCTATGGAAGTCTTTATTCAAGTATAAGTGATTTTTGTGGCCCTACCAGTTATTAACTTCACTTTTTTTCAAGCTTCTTATTTTAAAAATTTTATCCAAAGAAAGCATATTAATTTCACATAGAGAAATTCTTGAGACAATCGTTGGAAGGAGAAAAACCTCTTTCTCTCAGATTAGTGCCCTTAGTATGAAGAACTATATCCTACTGTCAATATTAATAAATATTCCTTCTGGGTATACTTTATTTTTAAATTTTTATTAATGTTTCATTCTTACTGTATTAGCTGTTCGGTAACAGGCTGATTACAAGCAGATGGTTAAAGACAAGAACAGAAAATTTTGGAAAGTGCTTATAATAATTATGCCACTTGAAAATATTGGTTTAACATTTCACAGGAAATGGTATTTATTAAGTCATATTCCTTCAACACTCCGGAAAGAATAACACCTACAATGAATTTCTCTTAAATGCCATATACAATATGGATACAATATACATAGCCTGCAGTACGATATATTATCAGTTTCCATCCACGTTTCAATGCCCATCTATTTGAAATCCATTCTCTAGGACCAGCACACTTCCCCCAGCCCATTTCTAACTCCCAAGGTTTTATGTGTGTGTGTGTGTGTGTGTGTGTGTCTGTGTCCAGGAGAGCCTTAACTTCCCAGTGACTCATTTTAATAAGACTTTGGAGTTTGTATTAACCTGACATTGTTATGAGTCTATTCAAAATGAATATAAAAAGCCAGAATAAGAACTGAAATTAAATTAAAGCCAAGACATATTTTGGCCTCCAAATTTATGCAGAATATAACAAGTCGCATTTCTTCCCTATTCTGCCATCACCTATAAAACTAGCCAATATTTAAATAACTGAGGATCACTTAACTGGCTACTGTGAACCTTACAAAATTTTCCTCAAACCAGGTTTGTCTTCCAATCATATACCCTAGTATGTTACATCATCCTTGGACTGTGAAAGTTGGGATGGATGCATTCCAGATGTTTTATGTTCTCTATGATTTGAATCTTCAAAGAAGCAGACAGAGAAGCTAGCAGGATGCTGGCAGTGGCCACCAGGAGCCAGGGTAAAATGGCTTTTGCTGAGAGCAGAATTCAGATGTGACAAACATGGAGGTGAGTGGGTATCACAGTTAGGAAATACATTTCTCCAAGTACATTCACTGATGAAGCAATCTCCCACCCCACTAGTGAAAGTCTTTATGCTGAGACAAAGGAGAGCCTGCCATCTCAGGTCTCCTGCTGTCAGGCTGGTAAGAAGAGTAGGAAGGTCTGGGGAGAGGACAGACACAAGAGGATCCCACTCAAGAGATACTGGGGAGCAAGCCTCCAGCCATCTCGTCCAGGCTCCATCACTGGATGAATCAGCCACTGCAGTGGAATTCAATGGGCTGACTTTACCAACCCATCCTCCATGACCTTAAATGTATGTTTGCTCTCTGGAAATCCTTCAGGATAAGTACATGATTAATTCTTTTCCTAGGACAAGAAAAAGCTAAACTTTGACTAACAGTGACAACTACTGAGAAGCAGCTCTTACTTACCAGCTTTGTGATGTCTTTTACATTATCAGTCACAGGATTCCCGCAGATCTCTTTAGTTTTGACAAGAGGATTAAATAGGAGCAGTTGAAGATAAATGCAAGTGATAATCCAAGTCTAAATAAAAACAGAGAAATTTCTTGGTGCCCATCTGCTTAAAATCTGTAATCATGCAAACAGTTCACATCTTAGGACTTAGGTAGAAATGACCAATATACGACACTTATTTTTTAAGCTAAATTTAATTAAATGCTAAGCATTCAAATTATTCTCATCAAATTAATAAAATTAAATTAAAATAACACAGTTAAAATCTTGTTTGAATTATTCTTTCAATGATATTACTGTTAACTTCTGTCGAAAGCTTTCTAGAGCCAATTTCCTAATGGCAATTAGGAGTGAACTTGTAGCAACATGTGAAAGAATTATCACTTAGAGTGCTTTCTAAAAACTAGGGAATGCATAAGATTCCTACCTTAAGGCACTAAAAGAAACCTCATTCTACTTTAAATGCAGACTCTTTGGCAAGTAGTGGCATAACCCCCACCTCCAGAGGTGCTTTAATCCAATCTACAATAGCACACCCAGCTAAAGTGAGAGAGGGGGATATATTTTTAGATCTAAGACAGAATTTAATAACCTAATTTCTGAGACAGTAAAATAATTATTATGTGCATTTTTAGTCTTTTAATAGGGAAAAATATTTCCCTAGCCAATAGGGAGGTATTTTTGAAACACACATACATACACATGCACACACACATGCACGCGTGCACACATGCACGCACACACACACACACACACACACTTCTCCCTCCATGAAAAGAATTTCTACCATGTATTATAGTTATTTTGTGCACAATTAAATTTTTTTCCTTATTAGACTATTTTATAAAAGTTTAAGAACCTGGGCATCTCATTTTAAAAATTTCAGTATCTGTATAACATGCACAAAAGAAGAGTCTTCGGTGATTATTTGCCAGATAAATTTGTGGCCAAGGTAAAAATACATTTTGATGGTCAAATACAATAGCTATTTATTGAACATGTATCATGAGTCAGGGACTGAGCTGGGTACGAGGAAAACAAAAATGATAAAGACGCCCTTGAAACTCACAGACAGGTAAATAAATAACAGCTATACTCTGTGATAAATGTTTTAAGAGCACAGAGTAGAGAGCAATTAATCAATTAAACTTAAGAGGGAAAAACCATGGCAGGATTACAGCTCCAAGCAAAGCCTGAAGGTAAAATGTAACTCTGGCTAGATAGAAGAGGACAAGAAAGAATTTTTAAGCAATGATAAGGAATGGAAATTCCAGGAAAAAAATACAGCATAAGCAAAATCATGGAAATGAGGTTTTTAAATACATAAGGTTTCATTTCATGAGCTAGCATTCAGCAGCAGCATTTTATAACTATACGAAAACCCAGATGCACAACAGCTAGAATAATTTTTGTTTATGTAGCTTGTCATATGTTAAATGGACCTAAATTATTATTTTCAATTACGATATACACATTGAGTATCACATTGGACCACATGTTGTTTATTGCTTGCTAAAGTTCTCTAACATTACAACGCTACCTCTGTGGACCTAGTGGATTATAACCTCTTATTCTTTTACCCATGTGGTCTATTTTAGCATTATTCATGCTTAATTTATAAGGTTACACTCAGAATCCTGAGAATCACAGTCCTCATTATACAATTTTGTATTAACCATGATTTTGTACAGATTAATTCATTGGGTAAAACCCTCTTTCTGGGCAATTCAAGCATACGAATTTCCCTAATAATAGTCTTTCTTCACATGTGCAAATATAATTTGTTAAATTGTGGGTTAATATTGTCATTGCTTGAAACATTTCTCAATAGCTTTCTTTTCTGCTATGACTTGAAGATCCCTATAACTGGTCAATCTTAATATTAACCATTATTAGTTGTTAATATTAACCATTATTAGTTATTATTGATATTACATTATTATCATCATTGTATCTAGAATTATGAAGGGATTTGTTCATTTCACAAACATACCACATATTATGTGCCATTCATTGCTCTAGCTGTTAGGCTACATAGTGGATAAAAAGACAAAATTCCTACCCTCATGAGGCTTATTTTCTCATGAAAAAAGATAAACCATAAACAAACACAAAACTAGGCTACATAGTATATCACAAGGTGTTCAGGGCTATGGAAAAAGTAACGAGATTCAGGTAAGGGGACTGGGATTATAATGCCTGCCTCATCTGTGAGCAGCAGTGATTTAGATTCACACTGACCCTCACACTCACAAGACACCAAAACAAATACTCAGCAGCAAGCACACTACAGCCAAATTTCATAGTGCTTTGCTTTATGCCAGCTATGACAGTCTTTATGAAGGATAGTGGCAGCGCTGCATCCATCAGTGTCAATTTTCCATCTCTGATGATTGCTAGTAACTTTTAGAAATGAAGTATTTTAAATTAAGGTGGATACTTTTCTAACTTAGACATAATGCCATTGCACACAGCATGGATTATAAGCTAGTTTAAACATAACTTTTATATACATTAAGGAAACAAGAATTGTCACATTTTATTATGATATTAGCTGTATTTCCTCCAAGGTCTGAGCCTACACTATCTCCAAGGTTGGTTTGAACTCTGAGTTTTACAAAAAAAGGCTCAGGATAGGCAAAAATAAACACGTTAAAAAAAATAAACAAGTGTGGTAGAATAGAGGTCTCCTAGCTTCCAGACTATCTATAATGTCTTCAAATTGCTACACATTTGCAATGTGTAATCCCAATGTGTGTGGCAAGGTCCGATGACAAATAGGCAGGACCATCCCTTCCTAGCAAGGCTACTTAAGTAGTTCTTAGTTCTTCAAGGGCATGTGATAAGCTCCCATTCATATTCCAGAGCAGCTACCGCCAGAACCACTAGCAGCCTCCACACTGCCTTTTTGTTGTTGCTCTGCTACCTACTAATTTCAGCTGGATTCTCTTGGTTGAGGTATAGTTATGCTGTACATATTTACCGATATTTTTTTGAAGCAAGGAAGATTACAGAAGGGATCACATCCACAAGACTCTCTGAGTTGAAAGACAAGGCCTCAGAGCTTGTCTTTACCCAGGACTACAAAGAACAGCTAGATATTTTTAATAAGATCACTGGGGGCTGACTCGTTAAGAAGGCAATATTTCATCAAAGATTAGATGCAGCTAAGAAGGTGAACCACGAAGACAGAAGTGGATGCTGCAGGCAGAAAGAAAAGCTGGTGCCAAAAGTCTCTATTTAGTGGCCATAAAGTCTATGTAAGGAAACTTCATACAAGAAGCAAGACTCTGGAGCAGCCAGTCATTTGTGTCTATGTAGAAATACCAAGAGAATTGGAGACAATGTTGTAACACTGCTAAATCACTGAACATCTACAGTAATTATTCATCTCAGACTTCTTGGAAAAAAAAAAAAGAACAGCAAGAATAAATCAGTAAGCAGAAGATGAAGTCAGATGATAGAGAGGACAGATCAGGGAGGTCCTGTAGTCCACAGATTACTTTATGACATTCATTATCAATCAAACAGGATTCATGGTAGGATTTTAAACAGAGAAGGACTATAAAGATACTTCAAAACAAATAAAATAAAACCACTCTAATTACTGTAGTAAAAACACACTGTAAGGTAACAACAGGTAGAAAAAGAAAGAGATACTAGTTCAGAAAAAAGATTATAGATGTGAATTCTGGTCATAATTTGTTAGATTCTGGACATCTGCATGGGCCAGAAAGAGTGATTTGCAAGAAAGAGTTGATAGACAACTCTAAGGATTGAGCCTAGCAGTTAAGTTTTCAGTAGGCAAGTTTTGAAATGTTTTGGTCATATCCTTGTGACTGATGCCAGATTAGGGCATTTGAAGCTGAATTTTGGAAAGGGCATGGGCTGGAGATACAAATATGAAGCTTTCGATATATACATAGCATACATAGAATTTGAAATTAAAAAAAAATAGGGAAATTACCCAAGATAGTGACTCTAAGTCCAAGGGTGGGGGGAGGAGAAGGAGGAACAAATGACTGAGCAGTTAGTTGGCTAGTCCAGGCAACAATGTTTAACAAGTCCTCATCTCAAAAACAAGCTGTAGGTAGTGGCACAGGGCAGCATTAATCTCATCTATTCAAGAGGCAGAGATAAGAAAACTACAGTCCAAGACAGACTCTGGGCAAAAAAAAAAGCTAAAGACTCTCTCGGAAAATTGGAGGAAACAGAGCTGGGGACCCAGCTCAAATGGAACATTTGTGTAGTGAGGACATGACCCTGAATTCAAACCAGAAAATCAAATACAAATTATGGCCAGCAGGTGCTGACTGTTGTCTATAATCCTGGTAACTCAAGTGGCTGAGGCAGGATGATCTCTAGGCAAGCCTAAGTAATGATACACTATCACAAAAAACAAAGCAACCACCTAATAGAGAGATCAGAATGAACTATGTCCATTAAGATGATGCCTGTGACTTCGCCACTGGATTTTGCAACAAGGAGGTCACTGGTGATATTAATAAGTCTGCATTTACTGGGGAAGGGAACATATGTGGGGGGGGAAATTAACCAAAACTAATGACTCAAACAATGAGAGTTTTATTTGAGATAGTAGAAATACTAGGATCTCTGTTTGTTTTTAGAATGATCCAGTCAGAAGAATAACTGGTGATAGAGATCAGAAGAAAAGGAAACTGCTGGAGCAACATCCTTGAGTAGACCAGAAGCAGAGGTGAGATTCAGTTCTCAAAACAGAGAGCCTGCCTTTAAACAGGCATGCAGACAGATGATCAATATTAGAAAGCACGATAGTGGAACATAGTGCAGACACAGGATTTTGTTCAGGGAAATTTCCTGAACACTGCAGTGAACAAAGCTAATTTTTTGAACACTTACCATGTGTCAAGCATCTTGGAAATCTAATAACAAGCAGAATGTATTTCTTTCACATATCCTAATTTGTAAAAATGAAGACATAAGACAGTGAGGTACAGAAGTATTTGGAGACTTCAGAGTATGTGGTATCAGGATATAAACTCAAGCTGCTAATTATAATCCTGTCCTTTAAACTTCCCCATACTGTC